CATTACTGCATCGGCATGTTAGAAATCATGTTTTAGGTACTCCTATGTGCATTAGATATCCTGCCCTTAGGACTTCTTATTCGTTCGAATTACAGTGGTTAATTAATAGACCTTATCATAATGATAAAGATCTTCTTAATTATCTCAGTCCGTTAGAGAAGATATATCAAAGATATTCTTCTCCTAAAATAACTTGTACCGGAATTTTTATCACAGTAAATTCTGGTAGCACAAAGGAGTCATTCACACTCAATCTAGAGTAACCTAGTTATTAGCATACATCCATTACTAAGCTTTGTACAATCTTACAAAACACACAAATCTCAATAAATTCTTCTTTTTTGATGATGATAAACATTATGCTCATGAANTTCACTCTGTTTTACTAAACTCTCGCCCTACTTTGAAATGATCTCGAAATTGTGTATCTGTTCTACTATGTTTTCTACTAGGTTACCCTTTTCTGCCCAGAATCGTGCTATTATTTTCAAAATATTTATCCTACGTCTCGTCAAGTTAATGTATCTCCATGCCTTTACTCTATTTACAAAGAATGTTTTAACGATTTTATCTATATTTTCACTAACTCCTAAACTGCTGTATACTTCTAAATCCTACTACTGTCCCAAGTCGTATTTCTGAAAACCGAGCATTTTTTCAAATCACTTAGTCTTAATTAAGCTTCTGCTTTCACTGAAACTCACTGTTTTATTTCAACATTCCGGCTTTTAAAACTCTTGTCTTTGAGACCTTAAATGTGTTTGAGACGTGTTAATTACGAGCTCACTTGTGGAGGGATCTGTGAGCCTCTATGTGCCTTTGTATGTTCCCCTTATGTGCAGTCCTATTTGTTATGTATGTCGCTTAGCATTTTTGCCTTTAAACTTAAGGGTTCAGCCTAGTCCCCACCACGTAGGAATAGTGGTCCTAAATACCCTCCAGGACTTATAGGACGGGACGGGTAATAGCACGCAATAAGTATTCGTGACCAACTCACGCGTTTAATAACCTTTATGGGGTGGGAAGGGTAGAATATGGATATGACGACCACGCAATAACACCACATGTATAAATGGTTACCGGGTGTTGTGTGGGGTGATCCATATTGATTATAAACCTAGGACCCCCCTTTCCCTTTATTTGTTTTTTTTTTCATTTATTGTTTAAATCTTTTCTTGAAATTTCTGCCCTCTTTATCTCTCCTCAAATTTCCATTTTACTTGCAATATTATGTGAAAACTCCCTCTATTTGAACCCTTATTTGCTTACTTGTTAAGTGAAGTCACAATTTTAAGATGGCCGGGAACCACACTAGTGGATCTTGGGGGGTGCCTAACACCTTCCCCTCGAGATAATTTCTAGCCCTTACCCAAACTCTGGTTTTCAAACTCAAAAACCCTTTTTTCTGTGTCCTAATGCACTTAATCATTAGGTGGCGACTCTTCAAATTCCAAAACAAAACCCAAATCCCAAAAGGGAAAAGAGTTGTCCTCCCAAATGTCGTAAACCCGATTTTGCCTTTAAGAAGAAAAAGGGGGCATCGACAGCATGAAAGGGCATACTATTGATGAGTGCCGCACTCTGAAAGACAAGATTCAAACCCCGATTGATACCAAAGTCATACCAGCAAAGGAAGCCACACCAAATGTCCGCAATAATCCCCTCCCAGATCATAGAGGTGAATGAGTAAATGTAATAGAAACCGATGAAGAATGGGATCCTGAAGGATCAATTAGGCTTATTCGGGAAGGTGATGACCCTAAACCTGCAGCCACACTCACACCTATTGTGGTACAGATACAGCCACCAGTCGAAGTTGAAGTACCCACATCAGTCCCATTTGAAATTAAAGTAACCGCACCTATAACTACACCTACTCCATTTGAAGTAGAAGTAGCCACACCCTTCACTGTGATGGTGGCACCCACACCACCTTTCAATTCCAACGCCATACCCTGGGATTATGTTGCCGAAGCTAGGAGAAAGGGAAAAGCAAAAATGGAAGAGTCTGGTGCTGCACAGGGGATAACCAGAACTGGAAGGATCTATACACCCGAGAATTTGGGAGGAACAAGCAAGGAAGTTGCTACGAAACAACCCGTTATTGAAACTGGTCCAGATGATCTCTGGAGGAAAGTACATGCAAGAGAATACTCTGTCGTTGATCATCTGAACAAGTCTCCGCCCCAGATATCCATCCTGTCGCTGCTACAAAATTTTGAGGCGCATAGAAATGCTCTGATGAAGGTGTTGAATGAAGCTTATGTGCCTAACAACATCACCAGTGGAGAGATGGCCAACATGGTAGGGCAAGTACTGGAGAGCCACAAGATCACCTTTCACGAAGATGAACTACCACCTTAAGGATTAAGTCACAATAGGGCGCTGCACATCACAGTACAGTTTGAGGACAAATTCATCGCTAGAGTCTTAATAGATGGGGGTTCAAGCCTCAACACTTATCCATTGACTACTCTGAAAAGGCTAGGTAAAGATTTCCATGAGATACGAGCAGGGAGTATGAATGTGAAGGTATTTGATGGGTCTCAAAGGGCGACAATTGGGGAAATTAACCTTTGCTTGCAGATGGGCCCGACTTGGTTCGATGTTGAGGTCCAGGTATTGGACATATCTGCTACGTACAATCTTTTACTGGGACGACCTTGGATACACGCCGCTGGAGCTGTGGCTTCCATGCTACACAAGGCCGTGAAGTTCGAATGGAACCATCAGGAGGTAGTCATTCACGGAGATGGAAGTAATCCCATTTACACCAGTCAAACTGTCCCGGTTGTCAAGAATAGAAGAATGCTGGGTGGAGAAACTTATCACCGCATTGAGCATGTCAATGCGATTGAGAAAGATAAATGGTGGAGTAGCAAAATAGAAAACATACTGGCATGGTTTGGGTATGAACCCGACAAAGGGCTTGGGAAGAATCTCCAGGGCATTACTAAGCCAATACAACCGAAGCATCACGGCACTACCTTTGGACTTAGGTATCAGCATACCTAGCAGGATTTTGATGATTGGTTGCCACCATGGCGTGGTCCCTATTACCCTCTCGAGCAGCCAGTATCGCATCTGAGTCAGACCTTTTACCAGGCCGACACAATATTGGGATCTGCAGAGGAGGAAGCTTTGGCTGGGATGAGGAACCTGTTTCTAGAAGATGAGGATATGGATTGCAATGTGATAGTTGAGGAGGAGNNNGATCGTGCAGAGGAGGAAGCGTTGCGTGGATGAGAACTGTTCTAGAAGATGAGGATAGTGATTGCAATGTGATAGTGAGGAGGGGGGGGGGGGGAAGAAGGCCTTACCATCCAGACAGTGAAGAGGGGAGCAATTCTCAGGAACTGGACCGCCACGCCACCAAGGGCCAGACGAGTCCCGGGGTAGCATGACTACTAATGTTATTTGAAAAAAACAAGTTTTTTTAGCATTTAGTTTTTGAGATATCTTCCTTTCAGTATTTTGTTTTAGAAAACATTGTTTTGAAGTCATTCAGACGATATTTCGTTTAACATTTCAGCATTTATCAAATAATTTGATGTTTTATTATCGTTGTCTTTCATATCTTTCTTCTACAACATTACAATTTCTTATCTTGATGAACCAACGACTGTGAAATGTAATGAGACAACACGACATAAGGATAGTGACTCAAAAGAAGAGGATGAAATACCTGAGGAAGTTATCAGAGAAGTCGAGAATTTTAAGAACAATTTGGGAGATTCCGAAACCATCAAAGAAACTCGCATAAGCATTCACCTATCACCATCAGAGAAGAAAGAATACACTCGTTTCCTGAAAGAATATGAGGATATTTTTGCATGGTCATATGATGACATGACCGGATTGAGCATATCCATAGTGGCTCATAAGCTGCCTACCAATCCACTGTGTCCGCTGGTGAAACAATAACTCAGAAAATTCAAGCCATACATGAGCCTTAAAATCAAGGAAGAAGTCACTAAGCAGATCAAAGTCAAAGTCCTTGGAGTAGTTGAGTACCCCCACTACTACAAAAAAGGTCTTTGGCGGTAATTATTTAGCAACAATTAGGTAATTGCCACTAATGAATTATTTAAGCTAAAATATTAGTGGCACATGACCATTAGCCAGTAAAAGATATATTTTTAACGACAATAAAAAAACAACTGCCACTAAAAATCCCTAATTGAATTATATTTTTTAGTATTTTAACTTTCCCTCCGTACAATCATTCCCTCCAATTTTTTGGGACAATAAATTACATTCCCTCCAATTAGAAAACCCTACAATTAAAAAAAAAATAGGAAAAACCAAACCATGTAATTAGAATGATACAGAAGAACGACGCCTGTAATTAGAACGATACAGAACGATGAAAAACCTGCGCGTTAACAACATCACTGCAAAAGCCTCCACCCTGCCATGGTCTCCGGCCATCCCAGGTCGTTCTCGATCGAGTTATATATAATTTTGGGTTGATGATGCTCGATTATTATCAGTCTTCTCTGTAAATCTTCTCCCTCTCATTCGTCTTCAACTTCTGTTTCGTGTAGGTTTCAAGAATCATTGCAGAAAGCCTTCGTCTCCTTCAATTTCTGCTCTTAATCGGCAAAAATTTTTGCTTACCAGGTTCCAATTTTGATTTTTAATCTTTGATATCCAACTACGGCCTTTTGGAATTAGTGAAAGTATAGCTTTTTCTGTGTTTACTAAGTCGTTTGTGATATCTGGTTGTTGTTAGATTGATAGTCGATGATTGAATTTATTCCTCCTCTGTTACTCTCTTGTTTTTGAATTGGTTCCTCTGTTTTCAAGGCACTGTTATTTTTGTGATTTTTCAAAAATTTTCTAAGTGTCAGTTGATGCTTATTGATGTTTTAGTTGAATGCCGGTAGTCGAGATATGAATTCAACCATGTTCAAACTTTTTGCCCGGTAGTTAGATTTAATCTGGTACTAGTATAACTTAATACAACTAGATAATTTCTTTATTTTGGAGAAGGAACTATGCAAACTAGAGGTCGCAAGCGACTGATAATTGAACAAGATGATGATGAAGATGTGCGACCTTATATTGAGAAATTGATGGATGGTCAAAACCACTCAGCAGCCCAACCTTATATTGAGGAGTTAATGGATAGTCGAAACTTCTCTGAATATCAAGCACATGATGAGCAATCCAATGAGTTGAATAGTTCTGCTGGTGGCACTGAGGCTCAACATAATGAAGATGAATCAGGTAACACTTTTTTCTGGGATTGCATTCAAATCTTAATTGTGTGAAAACTTTGGTTAATCTAACTAGTTTTTATTGTGTAATTAGCAACTGGAATTTTCTGTAACTTTTATTTTGTACTTCTTTATATAATATAACTAGCAAAAAAATTAAATTATTGTTTGCTTGTATTTATTATGTCTTCAATGCAAATTTGCTTTATTTTAGAGTATTTGGGAGGGGAAAGAAAAGTTGTTGTGGCTGTGGAGAGGCAGGGGTAGTTTGTTTGTTATGAGTTTGATGACTTCAGTAGGAAATAAGCCCTTAAAATGTAAAGATTGTTGGAATAAAGTGAGTTGTAGCTTTTAGTTTTCTCTAATAATAGGGGAAGGTCTTTATGCATCAGTAAATGAAGAACTGAAGTGCACTGTTGTAAACTTTTGTAATTCGATTAACATCAGGAATTCCATATCAGTTTTGCATAAGTATAAGAATTGGTTATTTTCATATATTTCATTATCTTGTTTCTGTCAATGAGATGAAACAGTGATCTGCTTAAGCTATTAGCACATCTAGTACATGAATGTTATATGATGCAGAAGTTACAGCACAGACTCATTTGCTCTCTCGATCGTTAACTAATGAAATTGGCAGACAACTTAGGTCCACCCCGTTGCTACCCTTGAACCCCTACAAAAGATTTTCACTATTTACCAAAACAAGGTAAATTATTGCATTGCCCAACAGGCCTTAGCAGTAAGAACATGCAATACCTGTCTAAAGTTCATCAAAGGATTCATGAATCCATCTTTATGTGCGCCGAAGAAGATAATACATCGAATATCCAATCTTACTCGCCTTCTGGATCCTTCTAGTCTATTGCTGTTTCATTTACTAATGGGCTTCTGTTGCCAGATTATACACATCATATCATCTGCTTTATAATATGTTTTGTTGGTGATCATCCAAGTTACACTTCAGATTATAACCTCAAGCTGGATAAGATGTGACACAAAGTCTTCGAGAAAAATTACTTATTGGACTAACCACATCTAATTATTAGAGGAAATTGCTGCAATCACACTTGTGCAACTTCAATATGTTGAAGCATTCTTTGCTTCTTCATTACTATATATGTTCATTTCTGATTGTCATACTCATACAAAGAAATTGTTAGCTTGAAATAATTTTGTGAACATGGAGTTAGCCCTTATGACATTTGTTTGGGTTCACCTGCACATCTCACAGGGATCTTCCACCAACTCTTCTACTTTACACAACCACATGTGTTACTCCAGCATCCTAACAACTCCTTTGTAGTCCTTGGCATGCTCCACTTGATTCCAATCATGCTAAGGAAGAGTTGCCAAAGTTGATCTGCCACCACACAATGCAAGAATAATCTTCTTAACATATGGTGTGCAACCTCTTCTGAATATATGGTGATCTGCCAAAGTTGATCTCTTTTTAGCCTATAGTTCCATGGGCTTATCTTAGCTGCCACATAACATTGATTTAGGAGTTCCTCCATGGGCTTGATTTTATCATTTACATCTTTTAGTGGTCTACTTATTATGAGCATTGCTTTCTGTTGTTTTATCATGATACTGTTATTTAACAGCTTTTGGAGCATCTCTTAGGTGCATATAAGTTTTTGCCATTTGATGACCTTCGAGTCTTCCATTCTAGGTAATTCAGAGCGAAGAAAGGTTCACGGGCCTACTTTACTAAAAGATATTTGGAAGCTTCCTCCGGGGAAGATAGTTGATGTGTCGTTTAATAATCGTAACCAAGCTATTGGGGAAAAAGGTCGAAAACTTGCTAGCTTTCTAGGAATTATCGCGAGAACTCCAGAACTAATACCTCTACATGCAGATGATGGGAGAAATTTTGACAAGGAGGAAAAGAATAAATTGGTGGATTTTCAGAAGGTATGTTGTTGTTGCTGTTATTATTATTATTATTATTATTATTATTATTATTATTATTATTATTATTATTATTATTATCATCATCATTATTATTATTATTACTATTGAACTTTTATACATGATATTTTCTTCTAAATATTGGCTTTATTTTGCAGAAGAAGTTCTCTATCCCTAAACGGGGAGAAACTTATGTCTTAAAGTCACTAGGAAAGAAATGGAAAGATTACAAGTGCGAGTTAAAAGGTGAGTATATGCGAAAATATAAGACTAAAGACGCTTTGCTGAAAAATAGACTAAGTCGCATACCGAGGGATCAATGGAGTGGTCTTGTCTCTTATTGGTTTTCGGATAAAGCTAAGGCATCAACAATTAAATCTTTAAAACACCCCTAGTTGATTATTTTCAGTGTTTTGATTTTAGTTATGCTCAATTTTTATTTACAATTGCTAAGATATTCTTTTAATATTTTAACGATAGAGGCGTACCCTAGCAAATAAAAATAATAGGGCCAATTAAAAGATGCCTCATACAGGAGGATCTAAAAGTATTGCTATCTTGATGGATGAGCAGGTAAACCTGTAAAAAGTACTAACTATTATATTTTAAAATACCTTTTTAATGCATATCTCACATCAACTTTATTGTATTAGGCTGTAAATGGGATAGAGCCTACACGAGTAAAAATTTTCATATTAACTCATAAAACACGCAAGGATGGTAGACCATTGGATGATGGTTCTGTCAAGGCAATAGTAAGATTTCTTTTTCCTTTTAATTTCTAAATTATGAAATAGTTAGGAAAAAAACATAAAAGCGAATAAATAAATTCCAAATTGGATTTATTGTGTATTCCATTGTCAGGAAATGATAAATGAAAGGACGAACAATAGAGAGAGCTCTGCTGACCAACCTCCTCGCAGTGTTGCTGAAAATACTTCACTTTATCACGGTACTACTCATCTTTATCCTTCAGTGCACTGCTGTTTGAGTTTTTTTTACTGTTTGAAACACCATCCAGAATATTTTTGAACTAAAGGTGAAATATTTTCGTTCACTCTCCATGTTTCTAAAACACTACTTATCTTGAATTGGTTTTATACAGTAGGAAAATGGACTACTGCACCTGACCACTGTTTTTAGATTGAAATATGAGCAACTATTAAACACAAAAGATTGCTGTTAACTTTTTCCTCTGTTTCAGTTGGCAATGGGACTAATTATTATTTCGGACGTCTTATAAGCTTCACTGTATGTTTTGGAACACTATTTATCATTTGGTGTACTAAAGATACTTTTCACCTGTGAAGCTACCTGAAATATAAAAGCATCAGGTTTTGAAGAATATAAAAGCATGTTAGCGTCGGGTTAAAAGCATCATATATTAGCTAGGTAGTGAATTTATGCGTGATATGATTGCATCATATAGATACTTCAATCTCCTTTTTATGTAAATCCAAGACATTTTGAGCACTTACGCCCCTTTATATCAGAAAATCTAACTGAAAGCTTTTCTGCCTTCGGTTGATCTGGCAAAGATATTAGTCTGTCAGCTTCTTCTTCTCCCTTGTAATTGGTGGCGTTCACAGTACATACTGTTGATACAAAATCAAAAGGAACACCACCATTTCAACTAAAGCTAATTTTCCTTTGGCCATATTGTAGTGCTATGCTCTTAAAGAAACACATAAAGAAGAAGAATAAAAAGCAACAGTGTAGAAAAGGTAAAATTAAGGGCTGATAGGCAGTGAGATAACGGAAAGTCGAGTGCTATTACTACAACAACTGTGTATCCCCTTGATGATATACACGCGCACGTCATTTTGTTGTCCGAGTTTAATTTCTGTACACTTGACAGTCTGACATTAACGATAACTTACTTAATTTGGGACTAGTTAGTAAATTTTGTTGTTCGAAGATGCTTCCAATTTTCCTCTTGCTGTTCTGTTCCGACGTTTGCAGCAAAATCTGTCATAATAGTATTTGGCCAAGTTAACTCAGTGAATTAACATCAGTGGTTTGGGTTCCTCATGTACTACTACTTCTTGCAATTTGTTTGTAACAGAAATAGGAGAAGAAAAGGGAGTAGTTTTTCTTTCAGGACATATTGATCTAGCCACTTCCTCAAACCCTTGCACGTTCATTAGTTCTGTTGATTCTATGTTGCAGATCTCTTCTTCTCTGTCCATCAGTGCAACCATAGCAAGCGATTCCCATCCATCCTTACAATCATATGTTCACCAGACTTTCTTGTGTACATGCTTTATTAGAAAATAGTGTATTTTGCACTTCACTAGCGACATCGCACCCTAGATTAAGCTCAGCATTGGCCTGATTAGATGGACTATTTGGACAGTTCTCAGCTTATTTAAGCATTGTCTTATCACATGTAGCAGCTACACTATCCAAAAAATTAACACATTCAAGTTCTTGCCTCTCATCATGCACAACAATAGATTTAAAGCCAGCTGGTTTTTCAACTAGTTTAGCACGTGCAACAGTTGCATCAGTCACAATGTTAATCTTCCCCTGTCCATTATTAAGTTGCTGCACAGCTTCATTACCTCGACAAACTTAAGTACATCCATGATCTGAGACATGATCAACAGTAGGGTCTTTAGAGACCTGCTTTTCCCCATCGCAAACCTGAGAAACCCTATTCAAAGCTGTAGTTTTAGAGCCTGCTGTTTTTTCAAACAATTCAGCGGTACAACAGCTGGTTGATCATGTACATGCACCAACTGTACCATCTGTTGCCTTAGGATCCTTCAAATCAGCAGCTTGTTCAGAAGATGATTGAGCTCGATTCCCATTAGGAGTCGGAGCATCAAGTACCTGTTGTCCAGCTGCATATGTTGATAGTACCATCTTTTCTCTTTCCCATATGTTGATATTTGTATCTTAGATTGTTCATGTTCCTTAGTGATCAGCTGTCTAGCTAAGAACCCCTAACTACAGTAGCAAGAGTTAGGGGTACTTCCCTTAGTGCAATATAATATGAACTTCCCTTGCTGCCCATGCTAAGCAATAAAAGTCCTAGTTAAATTTCGATCAACCACAGCTACTGTTGCATTCTTCAAAACCTGAGAACCCCTAACTACAGTAGCTTCAACAGGGCCTGTAAAAGCACTAGAACCAGCTATTATGGGAATAGCTTACAAACATCTGATCCTTTAGCTACAACATGTGGATTATCAAAATTAATTTTTGTTGCTTAGCACGGGCTGAAAGTAGTGGTAGTGGTCCTGTCTGGGTTGCCGTATGACCATAATCTGCTGTTCATCCTATGAACTGATGAAATACCAAAGCAAAAAGAAGTAGAATCTAGGAATGAAAACCAGTTTCCCTGTTGTTTAAACATAGTGTTAGAGCAATATAATATGCAATTCCCTTGTCCATGATAAAGCAAGAGTTTCCTTGTAATGTTAGTTAGCAGTGCAGGTATAAGTAATTGATTTAGGACAGGACTGATTATCACAAAAATCTTAGTCATTTTATCGTGGCATAACTTTCTGGATAATACATGAGAAACTAGTTGGAGTGGTTTTCACCCTTATTGCCCTGGAGATCTTGCACACTTTTTAAAGCTTAAATCTTTTTCTGATTTGCTTGATATCTTGCAAATTCCTCTGATTACTTCTTATCTACACTATTGCAGTTTGATTTGTTTCGGTCGGATTTGTTATGTCTTATTCTATAGAAAAAATGGAACTGTCATTCTACAGTAAAACAACTTTAGCTTGGGGCAATGTTTGCTCGATAAACATCCCAGTTGAAGACTATTGTATTTCATCTATTGACATAGTTATTTTGTAATTTCAGGTCATACAGTCTGATGATCGATAATTTAGCCGGTGGAAGATTTCTAAATGATAAAGCATTGCAGAAATTATTTGAAGACTATTATTTGTTAGGATTAGTTATATAATGACAATAGCTATTTGCTTCAAACAATATAAGTTTATTTTTTAAGTTACCCTGATATTACTATTTTGTATTAGTACTTCCTTTTGTTTGTTAAGATTTAATGAGATACATTATATTTTTATGAATCAATATTATTATGTTTTACTATTTGGATCATTTTTTGAATTAATGTAGTAGCTATTATTAATGGTGGCTAAACTATTGTCGTTATAGCATGTGACTTAGTGACAATTTAACAGAATATACTGGCTACAAAAATAGACGCTAAAAGGGCAAATTATGATGTTTCCACAGGGGATATTGTAGCCATTATAATTGCTGTTAAAAACTGATTTTTAGCGGCAATTTAATTGAATTTACGAGCCATTAAAATGGATGCTAAAAGGGCATACTAATTCGTTTTCAGAAAGAATATTATAGCTATTCTAATTGCCACAAAACAATTACTGCTAAAGCTATGGACCTATACCGACAAATGTTTTGAATTTAGCGGCTATGAAAATAGACGTAAAAAGAGCATTAGTAGTCGTTTTTAGATTGGATTTAGCAGCCACCATAATTGCGCAAACAATTGCCGTTAAAGCAAATCATATTTAGCGGCAATAAGTCAGACCTTTACCAACTTTTGTGAGAAACGCCGCTAAAGGCTTTGCTGACCCCAATATCAACAGCTAAACATCAATGGCCAGTAAATGGTATAGCGACAACTGTTATTGCCGCCAATGACCTTTTTTATTGCCGCTAAAGCCCCTTTTTGTTGTAGTGCCAACCTGGTTAGCCATCATCGTACCGGTTCCGAAGAAAGATGGGAAAGTCAGGGTGTGTGTTGACTATCAGGATCTAAACAGAGCAAGTCCCAAGGATGATTTTCCACTGCCAAATATACATATTCTGATTGATAATTGCGCCAAGCATGAACTCCAATCCTTTGTAGATTGCTTCGCGGGTTATCATCAGATTTGGATGGATGAAGAAGATGCAGAGAAAATAGCTTTCATTACACAATGGGGGGTATACTACTATAAAATGATGTCGTTCGGTCTGAAGAATGCGGGGGCCACCTATATGAGAGCTATGACAACCATCTTCCATGATATGATACACAAGAAAATAGAGGTATATGTCGACGACGTCATCATCAAATCGAAGAAATCCACATATCACATAGCAGACTTGAGGATGTTCTTTGACAGGCTACGGAGGTACAATTTAAAACTGAACCCCGCAAAATGTGCATTCTGAGTTCCTGCTGGAAAATTGTTAGGATTCATCGTCAGCCGCCGAGGAATCGAGTTGGACCCGTCAAAAGTTAAAGCCATCCAAGAGTTACCACCACCAAAGAGCAAGAAGGACGTGATAAGTTTCTTAGGACGCCTTAATTACATCAGGCGCTTCATAGCACAGTCCACAGTAATATGTGAACCCATCTTTAAAATGTTGAGGAAGGACACTGAAACCAGTTGGACTG